TCGTTTTATGTGGCTCTTAGTGATACTGCTATAATGGCTAGGCCCCATTTTCAATTCTAAGGACTTAGAACATCTGTTCATTTTGAATGAATGAAGCACATCAAATGAAAGAGGAAGCTCATGTTGTATTAGGAGAAAACTGAATGTTTGCCTTGACCTTTATGTATTCTATACAATGGCTTTTGTTGTTAAAAAATAGTGGGAAGAATTCAACATTATGATGTTTCTGTTTGCCTAATGGAATGATCTCCTGTCTCCTCCCACATGTTGTTCTGGGTCCCTCCCCCAGCCCTCCAGAGTTAATAATTGGGGTATGTGGCAGTGAAGGAGAAGGGAAAGCCCTGTTGCAATAGCAGTAGTCCTCGGATGGGGTTCCACGAGTAGTGAGACCAGTTAGCTGAATTTGTGCCAGTTGCTTGGATCCTAATAGCCTTCTGCAAAAGGAATGGAATTCATGTTAATAGGCAGGGCTTTCCCTGTTCTGCAGACCCTTCATCCTTTGAAAATCTCTTGGAGGATGGAGGCATAGCTGTCAACTTTTCCCTTTTCTTGCGAGGAATCCTATTCGGAATAAGGGAATTTCCCTTTAAAAAAGGGAAAAGTTGACAGCTATGGCTGGAGGGACTCTTGGAAGTGGTGATGGATATAGTCCAATGGGTTACATGATTATGAGCAGCTATAGTCCTGTCTTCTAAAATTGGATTTATCTTAATTGACTAAAACAGCAGCATTAATTGATTTAATTGATTCATCATTTCTGAAACCTGTTTCTTTTTGGAGCAGGCATTTGCGTATACGTACACATTGATCAAGTAAGGAAGGGCATATTTTTGTTTTGCCAGCAAAGAACCCATACATAGAATCATAGAATTGTAGAGTTGGAAGTGATCCTTAGGACCATCTGGTCCAACCAACCCCCTGCAATGCAAGAATCTCAGCTAAAGCATCCCTGACAGATGGTCATCCATTCTTTGCTTAAAAACCTTCAGGAGAGTCTGCACCTTCCAGGGAGTCCATTCCACTACCTGTTCAGTTCATTAAAGCCCTTTACAGGTGTTCAAACTGGGCACAATGGGTATGTGGAGAGAAACATTATAGTGGCAGGGTCTACTCTTGACCAATGTGTGTTTTAAACAAATAACTGAAGGGAGTCTTCATGTGCATACTAGTTAATGTATAGAAATGTCTCCATGTAATTGCTAGCCAATTGGTTAGAATCCTCTGGTAGCAGCAGCAGCAGAGGAAAGGATTAATTTTCCTCTACCTATCTTCTGTGATCCAAATGGTATTTGTTCTTTAAATTTGTCTTTGCATTTATGTTTTTAATGTCACATCTACTTTAGTGCAAATAGGTGTTGCTCAAAGGAATATGCTTTGGGGGGGAATTGCTACCCATTGTGCATAATTATTTTATGTAGGTCTCTTCAATTACTTGCCCACACGGATTCCATATTGACATAAGATGGTTTGCTTACTTACAGATTCTTGTACTGAGTGTAAAATATGGCCTGTGGGGAATATGGCGATTGCATCCGCTTGTTTCTTGTTGTTCTAGCATACAAAGGACCTTTTGAGTAGAAATTGTAGCTAAATGTGAAAGATTTCATTTTGTGGTGAGCATGGCATTGTTCTTTGGTCACAATTCTGTTATTGATTTTTAAAAATATATTTATTTATTTTGCAGCCTAGGCAGAAGTTGGTTGTCCTTTTAGTCTAAAGCCTCAGAAAAGAATATGCTATTCAAAGCACTTCATTTTACATTCCGTTTGCAATAGGAGTATTATTGCTAAGCTACTTTTAGTGTGGTAATTGCTGTTTTGTCTGAATAACACGTATTATTTAAACTGATTTTTCTCTGGGTCAGGCTTCATATACTAACTAGACCCTGGAGTGATGAGTTTGATTGCTACTTATTCACTATGTAAATTATCTGATTTTAAAATAAATATTATTTGCTGTAACATCTTATCACTTTTATAATGTGTTCTGCACAGGAAAGAACATGAAACAGATTTAAATGTTATGGTGATTTTATTCCTAGAATTTAACGTTATAGGCTGAACATTAAGATAAGCTTTTGAATGGTAAGAGCAGTTCAGTAGTAGAGTCAATTACCCAGGGGAGGAAATCAATCTCTTGCTGAAGGTCTTCATGCAGATGCTAGGCAGTCTGATATTGGGATGATTTAGCTCAGGATTTCCTGTGTTTGATTGATCTACAGGTCCCCTTCCAACTCTATTATATGAATGACAGGGTTTGGGGGTCAGAAACCCTATGACGTTTGCAGTTTACTGATAAAGTTTGCCAGTAAACAACAGTATCAACAAAATTGTAAACACTGCAAACTTGATCATACTAAAAAAACAAAAAATAAATCCTGTTAGCATCTACTGCTGTGCTAAAATGCAAATTAAAGGAAGACAAGCAATAAATATTTTTTAATATTTAAAGAGTGTATTTTTAAAAAACCCACTTCCTTTTCCTGTTGAATCTTTGTGTCTTTCCTTCTTTGACTCAGCAATATTAGGCTGTGTTGTAGTTGCACTAAAGGGTTGCTGTCTATTAAGGCTTTAGTACACCTGCCTGATTCTTGACTCTGAAGATAGACTTTCCTGCAGCTAGTCTTCTTTAAAAAGGCCTTCTTTGTGGTACCACCTCATTTATGGAACCCCCTTCCCTCCAACAGGCCCTGATTATTAGTTACAGTCCTTATTTTCTGATACTTGTTTGTGGTAAAATATTTCCCCTGTTTTTGCATTTGGGGGATGTGGTAAAATGTTGCTAGTGTGATTTGCTAGCATTGTCACTCTTCAGGTTCAGATAATTCCCCAGTGTCTTATCTAGAAGTTAAAAGATCTAAGGTTGTGGTTGGATGCATGGACATCACAACTGCAATTCTATATATGCACTTACCTGGGAATAAACCCCATCAAACTAAATACCACTTACTTCTGAGTAAACATGCATAAGATTATGCAAAAGGGCACTCTGTAGTTCATAGCCTACCATTTTGCACACTGTAGCAGATATGTTGTTTTGAACTCTTCACAACATATTGTTATGACTATTTTGTTTTTCTACATGTATGTGTATGTTTTTGTTCATTTGGAAAATCACTTTATTGGTGTTTGGTGGAGGGCAGGGCTAATGCAATACAGACAGCAGACAAGACCCTGAAATAGTGTGCAATAGTGGAGGAGTTGGGATTCACAGGCATGGCAAGCTTCACTATTCTTGGGGCTTCTCTATACTCACTATACTGTTGTCTCTGATAGGTCAAGATTGGGTGTATTTCTTCTGGACCCAACTGTGCGCAATATTTCTAGGTGGCGATTGTGGCCAGATGAAATTAACATTAAGATTGTATTTATTTAAAAATACCAAATGTCACCACATACTAGTAATTATCAGAATGTTACAAGTTTTCTTTTCACTTCTAAGGAAAACAGAAATTGGGTTATTGCGTCTGATGTTTTATTTAAATCTCTGCGCAGCGTTTCTATGTTCATCCACCTTAAGAGGAATCCTGATGTGATTGTGCCGTCCTTCTCACACTCTGTGATGCCATAAAAATATTCCATTGACCTGACACAGATACTGAACATCCGTAGCTCCTACAGAAAGCAGGAAGAGGACAGCATCTCTGAAAAATTAGACCATGTATCCTGAGAATTCAACATCTAGATGAAATACAGTCTTTATTGATTTTCTTAACAAATGATGTTTCTCTTATGTTCCAAGAGAAATGCATTTCAGACTTTAAAGAGAGCGGAAACATTAACTTTCCTTTGTAACTATGAATGGTATTGTTTATTGCACTATAAAAAGCTGTATTTTACAAAGTTCAGATATGCTGATGTATGGGTTCCTTTTTAAGGAGGTAATTATTTTAAGTTAGAATTATCTAGGAATTAATCATGTTTTCTGACATTATTATGCTGCTCAAGTAGATATAGCTCATGTTTTTCAATTTTTCAATTATTGGAAGTTAGCACTGACCAACATAAAATAAATGATGGCCTATATTTTACCTTTACTATGTAAACATTAATTATATTATTATGCTCTGATAAAATCAATGATTTAGTACAGGATAGGTATAGAAAGGTCATTGCAGCAAAAAAATATCACTGGAGCAAGACCATGATGATGGTTTCACTTGGTGGTATATCGCTAGTGAAACCGCCACCGCTCAGTGAGGGATAAACAAGCTGCAGCCGGCCACTGTAGGTAGAGGGGTTCAGAACCGCGGCAGTTTCACCAGCGATATATGTCATAGGGGTCCCTCCATCTTGGGGAGTAGAGTGCTAGCTCAGCTAGGGGGTGTTGAGCAGCGGACCTTGGGCTAACTGCATTGTCCCTGACCTGCAAGGTGCTGGGCTGAAAGCACCTCAGCTCCGCCATGGTGAAAGCTGAAGCAGTTTCACCTGAGGCCTCGCGGGCTGGGGCCAATGCCTCTCTTTTCAATATCACATTATTTTGCCAAACCACAAAGTTTGGCTGGTGATCTACCACGGTGTTGAAAACCTAATATTGCCCATCCCTAAGCAAGAATAGCCATCGATCAAAACTGAAGGGAGGGGAAAAGGAACTCTATTTAAATTTTTAAAATTTTAATATGTATGCATGTTGTCACGCTAAACTTTTTAAGGACTTGTAAAGGTCAGCAATTGCAGAACAGATTAATATGAAATTGAGTGCTTTTATAATGTAAATACAGTGGTACCTCGGGTTAAGAACTTAATTCATTCCGGAGGTCTGTTCTTAACCTGAAACTGTTCTTAACCTGAAGCTCCACTTTAGCTAATGGGGCCTCCTGCTGCTGCTCCGCCGCCACCGCACAATTTCTGTTCTCATCCTGAAGCAAAGTTCTTAACCCGAAGTACTATTTATGGGTTAGCGGAGTCTGTAACCTGAAGCGTCTGTAACCCGAGGTACCACTGTACATGATAAAATACTAAAGCACAGAACCCAATTTTTCACTATAAAAAATTATACTGTTTGCTTCATGGCCTTTTGTCTAAGATAAAGTGTAGCATCTGTTCTTATCAGTTAAACAAATATTATTATTAATATTATTATTATTAATAATAATAATAATAATCTAAACATTGCAATACTACTGTATTGCTATAGGCATGTGGGTCCCTCTATGGTGAAGTAAATAGAATGTTGAACTTAGATGTAGGAAACAAGGTTCAGCTCCTGCTCAGCTATGACATTGCTGTCTTTCAGCCTAACTTTCCATTTTTAAGGATTGTCGTAAGGTTACAGTGTTCTTTGGAGAAAGGGTGGGGTAAAAATGAAAATATTCTATTGCTTTTCCATAGCTTCCACACACAAACCAGGAGATTGTCAGAGGTAGGTCGCATGGCAAGTAAGTGTAGTTGCCTATTGCTATTATCAGCCTTCTGCATATGTCCCTGTGCAGTGGGCAAAATATAAGAAAAGCAGCATAAGAAAAGCTGCTCAGAAAACAAAAGATGAGTTTAAAAACAATACAAAATGGACATCTGTGGCAGAGATCTGTTCCTCCCACTGGGGAAGCTTACATTTACCAGCTCAGTTGGTAAAGCATGAGACTCTTAATCTCAGCAGGGCCATGGATTCAAGCCTCATGTTGAGTGAAAGATTCCTGCATTGCAGGGGGTTGGACTAGATGACCCTCGTGGTCCCTTCCAACTCAACAATTCTATGATTTTATGACTACAGAAAACATATGGTTTATGTATCCACCCAGTCCAGTACCTCCGAAAATACTACTGGTATTAAGAAAGCCAGTATTATTTGATTGCATTTGCTGCAATTAGTTTTTTCCTTTTCCTTGTTCTTGCTGAAAGCGCTCAATATAGTTTAGTACAGCTCCTTAGTAACAAGGTGTTGCTGCTGGCTTTTGCAAATTCTGCAGCCCATGACATTTTTAGCCCTTAACTTCTGCTGCACCTTACCTTGACTATCTTTGTACTTTTACTTTTGAGATTTCTAGTATTGAAGTAAGTTAATCGGCTTTTGCATTTGGTGCATAGCCGGCTCTACTGGTGTGGAGGTTGGCTGACATGCTCTAGCAGTAATAACAAACTGTATTTGGGGCGTGAATAAAGTAAATAAGGTGAGAAATTTTTCCACCCTAAAGGCAAACAGAGGTAGTTCATGCTTCCTGTGTGCACTCTATTGACTTTTTTTTTTTAAACCCAGCCATATTTGACAAGAATGGTCAAGCATGAAGATGCATGAAAAGATATTAACAGATGTTTCATAAATAACAAACCTTGGTTTGATTTTAAGCAGGTAGCATTGCAAAAGTAATTAGCAATGCCTCCTATTTAAATACGATTTGCCAGATGTTTCCCACATAATATTGCTTACGTTTATCCAGAAAATTTTAGGTTTGCATAAAATTGTATAAACAAGTGCTGGGATATTCAGAGCATTTTCTGTACCTGGAATCCTGAATACTTTTTCCTGGGGGGGGGGGGGGACCTTGCTTATGTTTGTTTCTATGGACTTGAGGACTCATTGAGTCCCCAGCTTTTATATTAATCTTCAGTCGTATATTGAGTTTTATGCTCGTCCTCATATCTACACCATAATCCTATTCCCCGTTGTGTAGGGTTTTGCAGTGCTTTAATGGTATGGTGTAATCCTATCTGTGTCTACTCAGAATAAGTGGTGTCTTTTATTACATTTCTGGGGCACTTCCGGGTTCAGCGCTGTGCATTTGTGCTCAATCGCGTAAATATTGGCCACACCTAAAATGGGTTGCTGGTACAATGAAATCAGAGCTCTTGTCTTCCACTGTTACATTGTTATTGGGGTGGTTGTACTTTTTTATTTGGTTCTGTTGCAAATTCCTGAAACAATGGCTCTTAAGTGTGCTTGGCAATAACTTCTCCTTTTTGAGGTGGCAGAGGGAGTGACAAGAAACTGAATCAAATCTAGTGTTTCTGTGTGTCAATACTTTGAGTAAACAAGCTTGTACGTGAAGCAAAATTGTATAAAGAAACACCTGAAGAATGTTCTAGTTGCAGCAGCAGATGTGGATAACAACCTGGGGTTCAACAAGATAAGACAGTGATGGTGTTGCTCCGTAGGAAAGTTAATCTGGGTTTATGAGCACCCTACTTGGGATGAAGTCCACTTGTAGAATCAGAAACTGCCTCCTCAGAATGGTTCAGTTGCCCCCCCCCCTTATTATTATTTTGCATGACATGTCACACACACACACACAATGTTTTGTCAGGCTTTTGGTTGTTTCCCCCTGAACATTCTGTTTTTGTTTTAATGAGCTGGATCCTTTGTTTAATATTGCTGTGTTTTTGCTCTCTGCTCTCAGATTTTACTGCATTTTAATCGTAAGCCACCTTAGGGAGCCCTTGCCTGGGCTAAAAAGGTGAGTGTAAATTATTTTAGAAATAACATTTTAAAAACCTTGTTGAATGGCCCATTTCGCCTCCACTATAGCTAAGGCTCTTATTCCGTTGTATTCTGGCTAGCTGTGTTGCTCTACAGCAACCTTCGTGAACATGGTATCTTCCAAATGCTTTGAGCTACAACTCCCATCCTCTCCTACCAGCACATCTGGAGGGCACCGTGTTGGCACAGGCATCACTACAGCTTATGTATCCTAGTGCTAGGTTCTAACACAATCGACAGTCCAACCCTAATGACAGAACATAGAGACACCATTTCATGCTATTGCATAAATGTGTCCTAGAAAGCAAAACCTGACATAGCTCTGGAAAACACCACTAAGCACAGATCTCATTCCAGTTTTGCATTAAATATATGGGATGATGAAATAGGGTAATGCCAGCTGCATGTGCTAGTGGACTCCCTCCCCCACCGCCGGCTCATAAAGTTGACTTCAGTAATTAAATGAGAAAGCAAAACAGCATCAGCACTATCCAGTTGAATGCATGCTGTAAAGAAAATGAAATGGCTTAAGTTGGAATGAGTTGTCATGGAAATATTGGAGGCAGAACTTCTGTCAGACAGGGAAATATGATACATTGCTTGTAAATGAGTAAAATCATTACAGTTATTATCCATGCAGTGAAGAGTTTGTTTTATAACTATTGAGCAATATTATATATACATAAAAATTATCCCTTCCATTTCTTTTCTTTGATAAAGACTCATTTTGTCATACTTGACAGATGGCCATCCAACCTTTGCTTGAAAATCTCCAAGGAAGGTGAGTCCACCACCTCTAGTTGGAGTCTGTTCCACTGTTAAACAGCTCTTACTGTCAGAAAGTTAATCCTGATGTTTATTTGGAATCTACTTTATGAAGCCATTGGTTTGGGTCCTAGTCTCCAGAGCAGGAGAAAGCACATTTGCTCCATCTTCCATATGACAGCCCTTTAGATATTTGAAGATGGCTATCATATCTCCTCTCAGTCTCCTCTTTTCCAGGCTAAACATACCCAATTACCTCAACCATTCCCCATAAGCCTTGGTTTCCAGACCCTTTATCATCTTGGTCACCCACCTTTTCACACTTCCCAGCTTATCAACATCCTCCTTAAATTGTGATGCCCAGAACTGGATACAGTACTCCAGATGTGGTCTGACCAAGGCAGAATAGAGCCTTCCCTTGATCAGAACACAGTACTTCTGTTAATGCAGCCTAGAATAGCATTAGCATTTTATTTTATTTTTGCTGCTGCATCACACTTGTTGACTTGGAGCAATTGCAGAAAGAAACTTAGTATTTCAGTTAAGCAAGCAACCCAAACTGAGGGCTAGAAGAAGAGACATTAATTTATTTGAAAATATATCAGGTTGACTTGTAAATCCTAGGTAAAAGTGGTTGTAATTTAAATTCTGATGAAATTAAGCTTCCTTAGCATGAATGAGATCTCTATTATGAGGTAACATCTTCCTAAGGTTTATGTTTCTAATGACCCTGCAATTATCTGTAGATGCATAATTAGTTCAAGTGTTAGATAATTAATTTTCAGAAGGTATCTTAACTAATTTCACACATTGATACCAAGGGCATTTGGAAGACAGTCCTTCAGTTTAAAATTCCCCTGGTGATTTGCCACCTGTCACTTCAGTCCTTTCAATTTACCACTCCTTTCCATCTTTCCATCTCTCACTATTTTAAATCTTGTTAAACCTGCAAGTCTGATGTATGAAATCATTCTATAACATTCCATTAGTTGAACTGTAAATACAAAGACCCAAGACTGAAAAAAGATTTTAGCCATGGGTATTGATATTAACGTCTTAACCCTTAAATGTCTTACGGGTTGCTAACTTTTAAGAACGAAGCATTCTTGCAACAGAGAGGTGTAAGATGTAAGTCCCATAAGTATTATTCAGCTTTGAAACCAAGCAATATTGCAAAGCCTTTTAAGATACTAATTTAATTGTGGTAGAAGCACTGCTTCTGCGTTTTTATAGCTCAGTTGTACATGCAGTGGAATAAAGGCCACAATGAGACCTAAGGTTAGCTGGTGTAATTGCAAGGTCACATTCCTCCAAATCTTTTTATTTTTATGGCCACTTTAAACTGGTTGTCATAGTGGTGTATGCAAGTTTGAGGGGCTTTTCTGTATTGTAGAATAAATAGCAGTTTTAGAGGCCCTGGCATGAGTGGAATTGTTAATTCTCCTCTCATGTGCACACTCATGTTAACAGCAGGGGTACCAACTTGAATAAAATATTGTGGGAGCCCAGGCAAGCCCTGCCCTGCATAATCAATCACATGACACAGTGCGCGCACACACCATTTGAATGGGAATGCCCACAAACTTTGTGGGCGCCCAGCCCCCTCAAATATTTTATTGTGGGGGCTCGTAGGAATTGGCTCCTATGGTTAACAGAGTCTTCAATGAAGCAGGATGCTGAGCTGGTTCTGGGCCAACACAGCTCCTACATGCCACTGTAGCCACTACTTGGACTTGCTTTCTGGTGGCTCCTTTCCTCATTCTGTTGAAAAGGCATGCTCAGATGGCTTGAAAGAAAAGACTTCTAGGCTGAATGATATTCAAGAGATGAACATGGCCCAGAAACGTGGCTTGATTTCCTAATGCTCTAGGCCAAAGCCTGAGTTCCAGTAATTGTGTGGCAGGCTTTTCCCTCTTAAAAGTTCTGAGACGCTGACTGAAATAAGGCATTAAGGAGAGAGGTATACTTGCACCTACTCCCTATATTCCTTATGCACATTTCACCTCTGTGTAGGAAGCGAACTTACCCTAAACTAATTCCAAACAGGACTGTACACACATAACTACCGCAAGGGGACCTAAAAGAGAGAAAAAGTATCACTGATTACATTTTCATTGACTTGGTATTCTTATGCTTGTTTGATAATCTGGTTGAAGTTTACCTTGGCTGTTTAGCGGGTTCCCACTTTGGGGCCTAGGCTAAGTCAGGGTCCTGTTATCTTGCTGCCATGGGCATTGTTAATTTGCAGTGAGAGTTGAAACACCATGGTAAGGTTTAGAATATCACATATGTGTTAGAGAATAATTCAGTAAGTGTTTGACCTTTATGGATACCCTAAACGGCATGCCTTCCATTTTTAACATTTACCCCTTTGTTGGACTGATAACACGCCAGAATAGAGAGCAGCATATTTTCCTACAGTGCTGTTTTTGTTTTATAAATGAATACAG